AACTCAAAATTTTCATTTTTCTATATACAAGTAATTACTGCATTACTGGACTATAATTAGTACTTACAATACAAGACACAACTGAATGCTGTGTTTGCAGTAATTTATCCAAAATATCTAAACAAGAATTGATTCTCTGTTTCACAATCCCAGCCAAAGGACTCATGACATCTGAATCGGCCAGTACTCCGACGTCGCCGATAGGTCCCCATTGAATGGCCAAACCGTGTAATCCATCCCTACGTCTGGACTCACAGATGCGTTCGCAGACAGAGTTAGCGAAACCATAGTTGGATTGTCCGGCGTTTCCTTTACCACAACTCACCGATGAAAACACCACAAAGTAATCCAAATTTATGCTCAACTCTCGGGTTATTTTATCCAAATTCTCAAATGCTTTGATCTTTGAATCAATTGTTTCCTTATATTGATTGATGTTATGATTTCCAAATAGACAGTCATTAAGTACTACTGATAAGTGAAATATGCCTCCAATTGGTGCCAAACTATTTGCTTCTGCTATTAAGTCTTTGGATCCCTTCATAGTATCGGTGGGTTTAGACCACACGATAATCTTTGTGCCAAACATTTTGAATCTTTCACTTAAGGATTCAATTCTTTTGAAAATGAATTTCTGATAATCAGATTTGATGCCATTTCTTGAGGTTAATACAAATTTTCTCGCCCCCAATGATATCATCCAATGCGTCAACTCTAACCCAAAGCCTCCTAAACCGCCGGTTATTATATAACTCTTATTTGAATCGAAATATGTTTTAACGGTTGAAGTGAGAACTGAAGATGAATTGAAGTTAGTTTTTGCAACTTTTCTGTCACTTTCTTCATCTCTAATCTTAATAATAATTTTTCCCATATGTTTACCGGTTGTCATATATCTGATCGCTTTTTCCGCCTCCTCTGCCTTAAAGACAGTCTTATTGATTGGTTTAATCATTCCGTTGTTACTGTTCTCATGCATCCATTTCCACCACTTATCGATATAGCCCTCAGTTATGAACAGTTTCCTATCGACTGATACTCCGATGAAAGAGATGTCTCTCAAGAAGGCAAACATTCCCAACTGTTTGTTCATTTGGAGGTCATATTTGCCGATCTCTACAAACCGACCGCAATCTGCGACACAATCATAACTGGCTTCAAGTTTATCGCCGGTTAAAGAGTTGAGGACCACATCCACTCCTCTTCCATCTGTTATTGACTTAATTTTGTACTTAAACTGAATATCTCTTGAACTGAATATTCTGTTCTCTGGGATATTGTATTCAGTTATCAAAAACTGTTTCTTATCTTCAGTGCCAACCGTCACAAAGATATCGCAATTATAAAATTTACAAACATTTATGGCCGCCTGACCCACACCTCCAGCTCCTGAATGTATTAACACCTTTTCATCTAAAGATAGTTTAATTATTAGATATAGTGTTTAATTTTGATATTAAATAATTACTTACTAGGTCTGAGTGATGCCCTTTCGAGTAATCCATACCATACAGTGCTATAAGTGGACAAAATAGTGACCACATCATCCATTGACCAATTATCAGGTATAGTGGAAGTCATGCGCTCAATGGCGTTAATACTTGTGGCGAAACAACGGCTCACATCAAAACCGCAGACCCTTTCCCCGGTATCTATACGACGGCCCGCGAACTCAAACCCAATCAAACAATCAGTAAATAGACTCAAAGGTCCCGATGTTATGCGACCTGTAATTATAAATACGGGACGTTTTCAGTTAACAATAATGACTTATTATTAATTAAGTTAATTAATTAAGTTATTAAAAATAATGAATTAATTAAAAGTACAAACCGGTTGCAGTCATAACATCTCTAAAGTTGATACCGGAGCTATAGATTTTGCATTTCACATAATTTACTTTCTTGTTGTCCAAATCATATCCCTCTGTCTTTTCGGTCAACATTTTGTTTAAATCAAACCATTGAAGACTCGACAGGTCTTGCTTCTGACCAGTATTCAGATAATATTCGTTTGATTTGATTTTATCATAATTTTGTGGTAGAGTTAAGTGCCTATAAGAGCCCAACTTTCCGTTTCGTATGACATTAATTGCCAAATCCATTGACAAAATATCCGAGAATGGCTTAACATTAAAGTCAATCTTATCGATCAGATGATTGCAGTCAAAGATACACCGGATTTTATCGCCTCCGGGTTCAAGCCTCAGACAATTAATGAGTCCCACAATGCCATTGCTTTGGCTGTCATTAGCCATCAGCCAAATAGTCTCAACCCTTTTATCTTCGGCTGCATTTTCAGCCAATTTTTTCTTAAGTTTATCAAACCATAGCTTACAGTCGGACTTGATTTCGACGATATGGTCCGAATGGGGAACCGTTGGTTCGTAGAGGACTTTCCTGAACAGCAAACTCGTCGATCCAATTGTATCGCATTTCTTAGCGATTATAACAAATCCAAACTTTTCTGCAGTCATTATATACTCAATGATTCTCTTCTCTAGGTTTGAATTCTCGAGTTTTCCGTTCATTGAGTTCAGAGTTAGCTCCGGTTCTGTGAACTTATGTCTGAATACAGTCAACAAAAAGCCTTTATTAAGGATTATGTCTACCATTGACTGCAAGTGATTCTCTAAATCCAAAGACCATAACTCGTGTGAATCCTTAAGGATTATGAGATCCGTTGGCGTCACATAATCTGGTGGAAAGTCAGACTGACTTTCCTTTGGATTCCATTCAATCATTTTGAACGACTTGTTTCTATAGATTTCAGGCAAACCATTAGTAGATTTAACAGCAATAGTATAGTTAACATCAATTGGATAGATAGCAGCCGAAGCCAAATGAAAGTCCACTTCTCTGGCCATCAAACCATTTGTTAAATTAATTTCCAAAACTTTGATCTCTTTTTTGGGGACATTATTCTCGCTGACAATATCGAGAAGAGAGCGAATCAAGTGCTCGTTCTTCGAGACCTCATTTATTACATCTAAACTCATATCAAACTCTGGTTTTGTCACAATAGTATTCACAAATTTTTCACTCTCTACTATATTTTGATTTTCATCGGTCAGCTCTTTATACAATTCATTCAATAGTTTGAGTAAAATTTGTTCATCTTTTATGTTTGCCATGTATTGCTTCAAGAGATCATCGTCTAGGTCCGTCTTATGGTCTTTGCAGTCAATCATTTGTTTGATTTTATGCATGAATGTCGTGCAGACCTATGAATTAATAAAATTATTTTACTATAGTATAAAGATTTATAAAGTATAAATATATACAACTTGTATAATACAAGTATAAATTATTACTATACTGTATAGTTTGTATTTAATAAAATACAAACCTTAATATATTCAGAAACTGTAGTTTTAGCGCTCTCTTCGATGGCATTATTATCTTCATTAGCAATGAACTGATAGGACTCTAGTTTCATATCTTGTAAATTAGTCTTCCGAGGCATCGGCAGAGCCATTAAATCCTCCAATTCTATGCCTTTTGTGACAATCATTCGTGAATTCATGTCCACATGAAAAGGAAGTATTGACTTATAATTATGAAACTGATTGCTAAACATTTCCTCAATGTATTCAATATTTTGAGTGTCCATCAGATCGACCACTTCCTTCTCATTGGAAAGTTTGTCCTCTTTGGACATGAGTTCATCGTAATTCTCGTCAGTGATTACATCCAACTCCTTCTGTTCCGTCACTTTATTCTCTTTGACCGCTTCGTACAGCACTTTTGGGTCACATCTCAACGATTTGATCATAACTGGAACCATCATCTTCTTGAATGGCTGTCCCAAAGCCATGGTCTGTAACAGTGAGTCCATGAATGTGATCCAATTGCCGTCCCATTCAACCTCCCCGTGAAGGGTCTTAAAGTCTTTCGACCGAATTGTCTTCAATTTTCTAAACTTAGGTCCGTAATCGTAGCCAAGGATTTTCAAGTCTTTGTAGATATCATCACCACTTAGTTCCACCTCAAAGTCTTTGTTGTTATCAAACAATAGGTTCTAATCATTCGTGAATTCATGTCCACATGAAAAGGAAGTATTGACTTATAATTATGAAACTGATTGCTAAACATTTCCTCAATGTATTCAATATTTTGAGTGTCCATCAGATCGACCACTTCCTTCTCATCGGAAAGTTTGTCCTTTTTGGACATGAGTTCATCGTAGTTCTCGTCAGTGATTACATCCAACTCTTTCTGTTCCGTTACTCTATTCTCTTTGACCGCTTCGTACAACACTTTCGGATCACATCTCAACGATTTGATCATAACTGGAACCATCATCTTCTTGAATGGCAGTCCCAAAGCCATGGTCTGTAACAGTGAGTCCATGAATGTGATCCAATTGCCGTCCCATTCAACCTCCCCGTGAAGGGTCTTAAAGTCTTTGGACCGAATTGTCTTCAATTTTCTAAACTTAGGTCCGTAATCGTAGCCAAGGATTTTCAAGTCTTTGTAGATATCATCACCACTTAGTTCCACCTCAAAGTCTTTGTTGTTATCAAACAATAGGTTCTGAATGCTGAGACAATATTCATCGGTTGTCCGTATTTTGCCCACACATGACATGTGACCGCTTTCGTAGATCGCAAACTCGCCTTCAATTACCACAAAAATAAGACATAAACTTATATTTTGAAATATTTTCATTCAATACCTGAATGTTCCTGATATTTCACTTTAATTCTAGTCTCCTCCGAGTCGAGGAATATAGCTCTCCTGAACTGGACGTCTTCGAAGACGACAGGAATCTGATTCCAAATCCGTCCGTAAGAGGCGGCCATTCGTTTCCAGGCGAGCATCAGATACCCGGTCGCGGGGTATAGGATATTGCCGTCAATGACGTGTTCGGGCAGAAAGGACTTTAGGGCGCGAGTCATGTAAATGACTTCATTTAAGTCGGCGGCGGAAGATCTGAAGTGGAAATCCGGGTATTTCTTTACATAATACCCGTCGTTATGATTCCACTTCAACAGAGAACTGATTGATTGAGTGTTTCGAGGGACAGGCCATTCGACTTTGGGGTACAGGTTCTCGATTACAGGGTTAAGCCCTAATTCATATAACTTTGCAATTGATCCCAAAAACATATCGAGGTTAGTATCGTTTGCATCCTTTTTAATGAGCGACACATAAGTTCCCGATTCGAGGGTTTCCTTCACGACTTTGGAGAAGAGTCCGTGCGGTCCGATCTCTAGTATGAGTGCATCGGACGGCAAGTGTTTGAACTTATTGTAGAATTTCCTTCACGACTTTGGAGAAGAGTCCGTGCGGTCCGATCTCTAGGATGAGTGCATCGGACGGCAAGTGTTTAAACTTATTGTAGAAATAGACGGGACTTATGAGGTTATTCACGAAATACTCGGCCGAAGCATATCTTAGCTCTTCCTTTGGTTCGGATTCAATAACTGAAGTCGAGATCCATTTCTTAGATCTTGGTTTCGGATTTGGAACGTATTTCTTGAGTTCATCCGTCAGTCTTTGAGCACAAGTAATGAGATATTCGCTGTGATATGGGATGTCATGACTTTGGAGTTCGCGAACGAATATTCCCTTTTTGGTCAAGTCTTCAACCATTTGTTTGGTCTCATTGTATAAGCCTTTCAATAAATATTAAGTAATTAATTATAATCTAAAAACTAAGTTAGTTGATAAATATAAATACCGGAAACAACTACAGTATCATTTCCGTTGTTACAGACAGGACTCGCCCCCTTTGGACACAACTTCTTCGCCTCATTCCAGGACAGACCGACGACAGCCATCAGTCCTTTCGGTATCCTTTTATCACTTTCTGTCACAACCCCTCTATAGTATGTCATCATAATAGCTTCTCTGGTGTTAAGACACCCATCGGCATAAGCGGCCGCTATTTCACCAAAAGAGTGACCCATAATTCCGTCCGGAATTATTCCAAGCGCTTGAATGACATCACATAATGCTATCTCTATAGCAGTTGTCGCACAGAATTTGTTTGTCATATTAGACATCGAGTTCTTGTCATCAGATAACAAGAGATGTTTTAAGTCTATGCCATAGGGTTTGAGTACTTCATGACATTCCTCTA